GTTCTCGCGTTACTTTCACAGGCAGCACAGATAGATTTCACGATTCTTCACGGACGCTGTGCTCTCTGCTTTGAGAGCCAGAGGCTAAAGCCAAATGAACCGGTTCACAGGGAACAGTAAGCAATTTTGTCTGGTTCTCATTATTCTTGCTGAAACGGCAATGGTGTTTATTCTGATGGACAGATTCTCAGAAGAGACTCATTGAAAATACACTTGGTCAAATTCACGAAGGAACAGAATGTTTCAAGTGGGTGTGTCTGGCTGGAGTCTCCCTGAATGGTTTGGTAATGGCTCATCAAAAGATGGCTGAATTCTTTTTTTCCCCATCAGGAAAATAAAGCCAGTCTGAAATCCGGGAGTATTTTGAGGGCAGATGGTATTAGCCTAGTAGTAAACATATTTTTGGCTGAGTCTCTTCTCTCCCTTCCCCCACCCCCACCACAGTAGCTATGTTTAATGTGCTGAGAGAAAGCTGTTTGCTTGCAGAATTTTATTATAGAGCAGGGATATGCTTGTTCCAGAGGAGAGAAAGTAAACTGGCTCCAAGTCAAATGATGTTAACAGGTGTCACCTCACAAATCCAGGACTAAGATGGTTTGTTATAAACAGGGCTAATACAACACTTTCTGGCTCTTGCTGCATCTATTATGCAAGACTGTGTGCCCTTGTCATGTTCCTCCTGATTATTTCCAGAGACTTCAGAGGGCGGCCCATATGTGCTCACGTACAAGGACACTGCTGGAGACCACATCTGCCGTGTCTGCCATTTTCTTGCTCTTTAGCTCAGGCTCCGCTCTGCTGCTATGTGAGGCCTTCATAGCTTAATATAAACTTCAAAAAAACCTTAAACAGTATTGCTGCTCCCTCCAGGCTCTCGGACACCTCGACAGAAGGCCATTGCATTGCTGGTTCCACAGACGCGCTGATGTTCGTGAGATGGCACAGGCAGAGGCAGATTCTGCCTCCTGCTCAGCCTTACATACTGTTGATTGAAGTTCATTGCTAAGAGAGTTATGGAGTTTTTATTTATAGCTCTCTCTCCTCCTAGAATTCAGATTCCAAGCGGTAGAGAGGTAGGAGGGTCGGATGTGGGAATGGTGGCCACAAGAATGTGCTTCTTGGATCCAACTGCATAGTAGTTGAGGTGGACCCCAGCAACTGTGCTCTGAAACCACATTTGCACAGGGGCCCTGCCTCCCATGGGCTTCTCTCAGTGAGTGATTGAATGTGGGAGGAACAGGAAGGTGGACTTATCTCTGGAGACACAGGTGACTCTGACTTGAGGTTTCCTAACAGACTTCTCTAATTTTCCTTAGAACCGAACTGCAATCTAAAATGTTTCTACCCAACCTTCCTTCCTTCCTCTCTCCCTCTCTCTTGCTATTTGAAGACTCTCTACGTTTGTCCCCTCTTTCCATATTTTTTCCTCACAGGCATTTCCCCTATGACAATTTCCTTTTGCAGTTTAGACCATCCGTGACATCTGCTTCTCACGGGAACTGGACTGACACAGTGAATTAATGTTATGTGTAATGGAATGACTATCTATTCTCCCTCTTGCTGAACCACTTGTATCTTATTGATCACTTCCCTTCAGAGTTTTCTCTCCCAGCTGGCTTCTATGTCTTTATAAATTTTATTTATTTAATTGATTTATTTAAATTAGTAGATTTGAGGTTGACCTCAACTTCCACCATTCATGTTTGCCATGCATACACAGAAAGGTGAGGTTCTCAAGCTGAGCCCCCTTGCTATACATTGTAGAGCATCTATTGTGATTCTTTGCCAGTTTAATGCACAGCTAAAGAAACAAAAGAAGTGCAAGAAACAGTCCCTGCCTTTGAAATTAAAATCCAGTTAGTGAGACAAAAATCACACATGTGCGGCAAGTAGGTAAGGCTGTAGATAATAATCATTAACTTTCACAGACACAAAAACAACACCAAGAAATAAGGTTTCCCTCTTGCTCTGGGCTTGTACTCTCTCTCTCTCTCTTTTTAAAAAAAATATATTTTATTGACTTTTTTACAGAGAGGAAGGAAGAGGGATAGAAAGCTGGGTCGATGAGAGAGAAACATCGACCAGCTGCCTCTTGCACACCCCTACTGGGGATGTGCCCGCAACCAATGTATATGCCCTTGACGGGAATCTAACCTGGGACCTCTCAGTCTGCAGACCGATGCTCTATCCACTGAGCCAAACCGGTTTTGGCTGGGCTTGTACTCTTGTGTTTGAAATGATAAAAGAGAATAGCAGAGAGCAGCCTGACCAGCTGGATGTGAAGTTGTGAAGGCGAGAAAGGCACCATGATCACCACACTCATTACTGTGATGTGCGAAGAGCTCATCGCCTCTCCTGAAGGCCTTGCCCAACTCCCCCATTGTGTCCCGCAGTTGCAGAATTCACGAACTGACATGGGGTCTTCCCTTTTGCTTTCTAAAGTAAAAATGTAGATGAAAATGGGGAATAAATTTAAAAACAGCTCCCAATCAGGCACAAAAGCTCAGCATTGATTCTCAAAAGGTATGAATTTTTACATCTAAGAAAATGGATAGTGGTGATGGGGATGGGGAAGATAATACCAATTAGATCTTCAATACCAATGTTACTGTGAATGTTGTTGTTGTTTTGACATTGTTGGCCCATGGCTAAATTCTAGATTAATAGGCATAGAAACAATGTCCATGATGATTATGTTCTCCTAATGATGGGAAGAACTGCATCTTGAAAGGAAATGGATATGGAATAAATGCTGTTAAGTCGTGGGATTGTTCATGGAAAGGAAAGTATCAGCACAATTAAGGAAGGTTATTTTGCTTTGGCACCATGGTTTGAAATCTTGTTATCCTCTGTGTCTTAAATGAGAGACAATACTGTTTTGTTTTGTTTTTTTTAATGGGCTGATAGGTTCTTAGGGTTAAATTCTTCCTTTAGCCTCTGAACAGTCGTCAGGTGACTTTGGGTGCCTTGCATGCTTTTCTGACGAGGGTTCCATCAAATGAATGACAAGCTAAATTCCCAGTGTAATTCCACTCTCTTGTGACATCTCTGGATAAACCGCTAATATGCAGACTCTTGTGAAGTCTCCAACTGGAATCTGTCAATATCCTGGGCACAACAGTCCCTGGTATAACATTGGATAAACTTAAACAGGGCAACCAGATAGACAAATGGAACTGACCCATAAATAAGCAAAGGGATTTTTCCTCCAAGTTACACTGAAGTTGACCAATTCAACTAAATTGACACTTTGGTAAGCTGTGTTGTGATATGCTAATATTTCTCCATTGCAGTTAATAGTCTCAATATTATAGAGCTAATTCCTATTTTGACATGTATAACATAAATGCTGTCCCATAAACCCAATACCAACATATGGCATAATATGTTGGCATAATATGAATAACTTGATTCTATACATGAATGAAAAAAACACACCTGTGTTTTATGGTATGAAATTCTTTTACCAAAATATCTTGGGAATTTGAGATTATACCTAGGCAACCTCCAACATTAATAAAATAAGGTTTCTTTTAACATAAGGGTTCTTTTCCTCTTTGGGTGGTGAATTTAAAGGTAACTTAAATGTTCTTTAAACTATTGATATATATTTTCAAAAAATGTTTTCAGTAAATATATCTTTTTAATTGGACAAAAAATAATTTTGAGTGGTTTCAAAAGGGACAGGTGTGGTTTGGTGACTGGGAAAACATTCCTAGCATTTGAAACAACCTGGCAAAGGTTTGGAGGCAAAAAGACAGAAACCTGACTACGTTTGAGGAGTTTGCCAGATGGCAGCGGATAACTGCCCCTGCTCGATTTGGCTCCGATGGTTACACACTATTTGTCACTTCAGCAAGCTATCCTTTTACAAGGCATGTGGCAACAGAATGTTGTTTTAAGATTACTCATCCTTGGGCTTCTTATGCTGAAATGAAGAAATGTAATGGAAAGTCCTTCAGTAACGTCACTGGGGAATGGGAATTGTGTTTGTTTATGTCTTTTGGGAATGCATTGTTTTGATTGACCCTAATTAGAAATTCAAAGTGGAGATTTGGTCTATTACCTATAAAGGAAGGATTTGCTGAACAAACACATTTTTTTTTTGGGGGGGGGGGGTGTCATGTTTAAAGTGCTGGATTGATGTGCTTTTGAGTTGCGTTAAACACTTCGGAGACTCCGTTTCACCTCCGGACATCTGGAATGTTGGTTACAAACTGATGTTAACCAGTTTTAGTCGGTGTTTATATTTGGAAGTTACACAACTCTATTTCCAACCTATATTCTATAACTTATGTTTTTCACTAGTTTTGGCCAGCTTTTCTCCTACCTCCTATCTATGCAAGTGACTGAGTTTTGCTGTATGAATTTGTTGCTGTATTAGTACAGACAGTGATATATAGACCATGGCTTCTGCAGCTGTTTTAGTTGAAACTGTATATTAATGTGTAAACTTGCAACATACAGCTTAGCTGGGAAGGTATGCAGAGCAGGTGACTGAGGAGATAACTTTCGCTGCTTGGACTAAAGTCAGTTTTGAGGGAGCTAAAGATGCCTGTTGAATTTTGGTGTGTGTGTGTGTGTGTGTGTGTGTGTGTGTGTGTGGTTTGGGGTGTGCATGTGCAAGGCAAGAACTCTTCACATCTCAAATAGCTAAAGAAATGGGTAGTAAAACCAAGTCCCATTTTACACCCTCACATGCTGACTATGGGAGGAGCCAAGTGCAGTGCTGGCTTGTTGACATTAGTCTATCATCATGGTTTATGATGTATTAAAAATGTGTCAGAAATATTCATGCAGATGTAAAAGATGAATTAAAAACCTGCATCAATTGCAACAAGCGTCAACTGAAAAGAAAAGATTTTAGGTCCAGGGGTGTTCATATAAGTTGGTTGCCAAGGGAACAGAGTCTTAGTGAACGTGTTTCCATGTCCCCCTCAACACAAATAGCCTCAAACCTTTGGAGGTTGTTCCTTTGAGATGTTTCATCAGTGACATCACAGAAGCTGCCACCTCCCTGGGACTACTTTAGGCCCTGCCCAGAGCTCAGAAGTCCAGACGGCCCAGAAGACAAGCAGGTTGGAGCCTGAGTCAGAGAGAAGGAGAGAGAGGGGGAGAGAGGAGAAGCCTACCACAGCAGGTATGTTCTTGATCCTCTCTAGGGAATAGCAGGATTCTTATGCTTAGCTTATGGGTGTGTGTGTGTGTGTGTGTGTGTGTGTGTGTGTGTGTGTGTGTATGTGTGTATATGCTTGCATGCATGTGTTACAAGTTGTAAATGAGAAAGGCAGAGGAATATTTACATTTCTTAATGAAATAGGCAATGCTTAATGTACATGGAATTTCTTTAGCTATAAAGTGAATAGTACTGATTCTTATTTTCCTTTTTTCAACTGATGATAAGCATTTTCAGTTTTCATTTCAGCCATATAGCAATCACTTTGGATCATATGGTGTGATATTGACTCCAGGGAAATTGTAAAATAAAGCCAAGCTCCGGCTAGGGGGAATCGGTTGGAGCATTGCATTGTATCCCGAGAGGTTGCAGGTTCGATTCCTGGTGAGGACACAGACCTAGGCTGTGGGTTCAATCCCCAGTCAAGGCTGGTACAGGCGGCAACTGGTTGATATTTCTCTCTCTCTCTCCTCTTCCCTTCTCTCTAAAATCAACTTATAATAATAATAATAATAATAATAATAATAATAATAATAAACAATACAAAAGCCAAAATAGTCTTTGTGGCTTAACATCAGAAAGATGAAGGTTACTGATCTGAATTTCTGCCTAACCTTGGTATTAATGTGTGTAAAAGTTAAATCAATGAGCACGTGTTAATTGAGTTGATTCATTAGGAATTCTCACCTTAACTCTGTGTTTTGTTCATTCAAAATCTACTAAAAAAAACCCCAAAAAAACCAAATATTTAAGACCACCATCAAAGTGCAAGAAAGAGTAAGAGCTAATCCACAGGAATTCAAGAAATATGATGAGTAGCCTTTCAATTGAGAGACTAGTGAAAAAAATGTGTGAAGAGTGCATAAAACATACAGTTTGACAATAATACAACTTCTATACAACTATCACCCAGATTAAGAAACAGATCATTGCCAGCACCCCAAAAATCTATTCCTGGTCACCTCCCCCTCTTTGCCCCACCATGTATAATCACAATCTTGATTGTTGAGATAATCTTGTCCATGCTTCTCTCTCTCTATATATTTTTTTTAATTATTAATGGGTGCATTCCTAAACAATATCATGAAGTTCCCTGTTTTTGACTTTGGATAAATGGAATCGTATTCTATGTTTCTTTTATAAATCCTTCTTTTGTGCAACAATTATATTTATGAGATCTACCCATTTTGTTGAGCATTGTTATAATTCATATATTTTCTTAACTCTGTAGCATTGAGGTATCTGAATAGGTCACAATTCATCATCCATTCTACTGTTGATAGACATTTGAGTTGTTTCCAGGCTGGGGATATTGTGAACTGTTGCTGTGAACATCCTTGTATAAGCATCCTGGCTCAAATGTGCGTGAGTTTCTAGAGTAAAAGTGAAATCACTGGATGATAGGGAACGAGCATGTACAACTTAAATTTTAAAAATGTCACATTGTTTTCTCAAAGTGGTTGAAAATTTACACTAACTTGGTTTAGTGGGGGCAGTTAATTGCAGTAGTAACTCATTCTTGTTATCACTCCTAGAGAAATAATCACAGTTCTAGCAACTACTTCCAACCTACCAGCTCTACTTGTGCTTCTAACTTACTATAGGTTACTATACAACTCAGCCTCTCTCCAAAAGCCAATTTCTTAGCTGGAATCTAAGAGAGAATAATGACAACAACACTTGCCTGAGTTCTGAGAAGGTCACAGAGTCGTTGTGAAGGTCACATGACCAAAAGCTGTGGACAACTTTCAGTAACATTTCCCCAGAATGTTCTTTTTAAAAAAATCCTGGATATACTATATTTTTTAATGTACTAAATTGTTTAAGTTAAAATAAAATAAATCACTAATGTCTATTTTGACTTAGGAAAACTAGCTCTTTCATACACTAGTGGTAAAATATAAACTAGAAAAAAATGTAAGAGGGGATTTGGCAATAAGTATTGGAATCCTTCAAAGTATACATTTTTCTTTTTTCTTTTTAAAATTTTATTTTTCAATTACAGTTGACATTCAACATTATTTTGTATTAGCTTCGGGTGTACAGCACAGTGGTTAGACAATCATATACCTTTTCCCCCCCAGAATGTTCTTGTTGGGCCATGACCCATGACCCTCTCTATTTAAGAGCTTCATGTAAGGCAGGTTTGGTGGGACAGTTATTTTATTCCCTGAATTGTTTTGATCATTAGAAACAGTCTCATATTCTTGCATATCTCTGTATTTCTTCAATGAGTGGGCATTTGAGCCAGGACTCTGTTTTATTAATAAATTCATAAGGAAAAGTCTGTCTCTAATTCTCATGCCTTTGCCTCCAGGCTCCCTGCTTGCAATCATCACTTTCCTGTTCCCCTCTGTGCTTGTGTATGTTTTTACACACCCTCTCTACTTCCTCATCCATTTATTATCTTCTGTTTACTTTCTAAAGTATTTGTATAAAGATTTTCATTGGCAATTTACTATGTGCTTCATGTGCAGGGCCAAAAGATGAGTCATAATTAAGAAGAAAATGAAACATAAATCAATCATCACTGGCCATATTTAAAGCAAGATTCAACAACCTACTAGTTGGCACCATCCAATTTGAACTTGTGTTTTATACTAACAATGAACTGATATGAAAAATGATCATTCAGCTGGTTTATACCATTATCACTTGAACCACGAATAATACAACCAATATAGTAATTACAATGAATAACTCAGTCAGATTAAATGGTCAGGCCAAAAATTTGCTAACAATCCTTTCTGCCCCCCTGAACTTTCACCTTTAGCAAATAAAAAACACACACCCTTTCCCTTTAAACATTTTCACTCTAAGATTATTTTTCATCTTTAATTTTTAAAAAATATATATTTTAAAAATTTATTGATTTTTTACAGAAAGAAAGAGAGAGGGATAGAGAGTTAGAAACATCAATGAGAGAGAATCACTGATCATCTGCCTCTTGCACACCCCCTATTGGTGATGTGTCTGCAACCAAGGTACCTGCCCTTGACCGGAATCGAACCTGGGACCTTTCAGTCCACAGGCCAATGCTCTATCCACTGAGCCAAACTGGTTTCGGCTTCATCTTTAATTTTATTTGGTTTGCATACACAAATTATCAATCACACCACACCACTGAAGGTAACGTTTTGATGGACTGCATTGCATATGTTCTCAAAGTATGATTTCCTAAGTGCACTATACATGCAAACTATAAAGAAACCGTTCCTGCTCTTTGAAGTGTTTACAATCTAGGTACATCCTAGACCTGACTAAAAATAGCTGGCACAAGCCCTTGTTGAAACAGAAGTAGGCATGAGGTTAACACTTGCTCTTTGGATTGAGTGCCTGCTATGTGGGGGACTTTGGGTTGACTCTGGTAGGTTCTGTGCCCAAAGCAGTGCTTATAAAAGGCAAAGCAGATGTTGAAACTACCTCATCCTTTCAACAGGGTTAGATGAAGCCTGAAATCTGCAAAACTATGGTGTCCTACTTCTACAGGTAGTTCAAAGCAAGAAAAATACTAAAACACAACCTTTTTTTTTCTGTTTTGGTGGCTTTGCTGGCTGGTACTCTAAGTTAGCAAGGCAAGCACACACATACACACACAAGCAGAAATTGGAGAGAGAACAATTTAATATTTTTATTTTTTCAAAAAATCAATACACTCATTAGAGGGGGAAAAAATCAGAACTATATTGGTCTTTTTGTCATCAGGCAGCAAAGGCAGTCTGTATTAGTCAGGAGTCTTAGAGAAACAGAACCAATAGGATGTTGCATATATGGCTCATGTGAGTGTGGAGGATGGCAAGTCCAAAATCTGCTGGGGACCCAAGGCAGAGTTACAACTAGAGTCCAAAGATGGAGGCTGGAGGCTAGAAATCGGAGATCAAGGTGTTGAAGGATTGATTTCTTCTGAGGCCTCTCTCCTTGGCTTGCAGATAGTCAGCTTCTCCCTGGCTTCACATGGTCTTCCCTCCATGCATGTCTGTGTCCTAATCTCTGCTTCTTTAAAAAAAATGTTTTAACTGATTTTCAGAGAGAGAGAGAGAGAGAGAGAAATAGAAATATCACATCAGCTGCCTTCTGCACATCCCCTGCTCAGGATCGAGCCCTCAACCTGGGTTCCTGGGTTAACTGCTGAGTCATACTGCTGGGCCACACCTTTATTCTTTAAAAAAAATAAAGGAAGGGAGAGGGATAGAGAGTTAGAAACAGCGATGAGAGAGAAACATTAGTAGCTGCCTCTTGCACACCCACTATTGGGAATGTGCTCATAACCAAGATACATGCCCTTGACCAGAATCGAACCTGGGACCTTTCAGTCCGCAGGCTGATGCTCTACCCACTGAACCAAACCAGTTAGGGCCTAATCTCTTCTTATAAAGACATTGGTCATATTGGGTTAGGATTCATCTTAGTGACTTAATTTCAAGTTATTTACTCCTTGAAAGACCCGATCTCCAAATACAGCTATATTCTGAGATACTGGGGGTTAGGGTTTGAACATAGGAACTTTGGGGAGACACAGTTCAGGCCACAGCACTGTCCTCTTTCACAGTGCTGCTGCTTCCTTTGAGGAAGGAATGCTCACTGACGGTCCCATGCTCTCTTTGTTACTTCCTGTTAGGAGGTGAGGGCCAGCAGGAGGTGTTCGGTGTGTCTGAAGAAGTCTGCCTTCAGTTCTTCCTGAGCCAGTCGGAGAATGGATCTGTCCGCCCGGGAGCTGTGTCTCAACTTCACTGTGGTCCTGATCACGGTTCTCCTGATGTGGCTCATCGTGAGGTCCTACCAGTCCTGAGACGGCATGCCACTCTCCCGGGATTGACTGCCACGCTCCGGAACTGCCTGCTGTGTGTCCCGAGATCCCACTGCTGTAATGGGATGCCTGTCCTGGCACCCTAAGGCACTCACCATCTCTGAGGTGCCTCCCCTGTTAGGGCCCATTGTGTGTTCTCTGTAAAGATGCTGCTCTCAAGGGCTGCAGAGAGTTTGCCAGTCAACATTAGATCTATCCCCCAACTCTTAGGGCAAATGTATTAGCTAAGCCACAATGTTAATAGGAAATGGGATTCATGATGATGTAGAATTATAAAAAGCCCCCAACCTGTCTCACCACACGCCCCTCCAGCCCACACTGTCTGCAGCCAAACATTAAATCCCCCGCCAGGAGAAAGTCATGTTAGAGGAAGTCTTTGTCAGCCCCTGTCACGGCTATCGTGTGAATAAAGTTAAGTCAACCACAAAAATGACTTTCAGAATTTATTTTGGCTTCTCTTTGGGATACTGCATCTGACCCTTGGCTGGGATGGAAGTGACAAATGTTACAGTATTTCTGGCATTTGAGCTAAGCCAAGATATGCTCCAACTGTGGAGGATTTGAAACCAAGTCAATTAAGAGTGTCACGTTTCAAATAATTCCACTGGCTCAGTGCTCCTCAAACGTTCCTTCCAAACTAGTCCCAAGGGCAGCTGGAGAATAAATCCTGGCACTAGGAGACTGGGGGCATCGCCTGAAGTGTCCACTAACAGCGCACAGTTTCAAGCACACAGTTTCTTTGAAGTCTTATGGGTTCTCTTTACGATTCACAAGAAATGTATATTTCATCCTATCATATCTCTCTGTTTGTGTCAATATAAGAATTTCAAATTATTTACCACTGAGTACAAATAGAATATGAGTCACTTTCCATGTTTGGTGATTCCAGTTGGATTATTGTCATTAATAAACCACAGTTTATTACAACAAAGAGAAAAACAAACAAACGAAAAAATGCAAATTTATGAAAATGCTTATAAAAGAGACTTATGAAATAGACATTCATTTTAAAAATATATATATATTTTATTGATTTTTTACAGAGAGGAAGGGAGAGAGATAGAGAGTTAGAAACATCGATGAGAGAGAGTCATCGATCAGCTGCCTCTTGCACACCCGCTACTGGGGATATGCCCGCAACCAAGGTACATGCCCTTGACCGGAATCGAACCTGGGACCCTTCAGTCCCCAAGCCGAAGCTCTATCCATTGAGCCAAACTGGTTTCGGCTAGACATTCATTTTTAAAAATATATTTTTATTGGTTTCAGAGAGGAATGGAGATAGAGAGAGAGATAGAAACATCAATAATGAGAGAAAATAATTGACCGGTGTCTCCTGCATGCCCCACACTGGGGATTGAGCCTACAACCACGGCATGTGTCCTGACTGGGAATTAATGATTGACCACTAAGCCATGCTGGCTGGGAGAAATAGATATTTCTTCAACATACTTCTAAAACACCCCACATAGACAGATTGAGTTTGTTCTTTGTGCCAATTCTGAGGTAACCATGGAGAAAGGGAATGTTGTTAAACCTCATCTGTCATCACATCCCTCAGGAAGGTATTCTGTGCTGAGAGTTGGACTATAACTGTGGCATAGCCTACCTGGCATTGTGGTTCTCATTCCTGCAGTTTGGTGATTCTTCACCCTGCACTAGAGTGATTTTTCAAAACATTTATGCTGGGTCTCACTCAGACTAATTAAATAAAAGCTAAGGGGGTCGAGTCCAAGCATCTGCATTTTTAAAAAAGTCCTGTAGATGATTGTATTGTGTAGCCAGAGTTGACAGTGGGTGGTTCTGTTGGTTGAGCATCATCCTGTATAGCAGAAAGGCTACTGGTTCAGTTCCTGGTCTGGGCACAAACTTGGGTTGCAGTTTCGATTCCCAGTAGGGGCATGAGTGGGATGTAGACAGTCAAGGTTTCTCTCTCCCTTTTCCCCTTGCTCTAAAATCAATCAATCCATCCATCCATCCATCCATCCATCCATCAATATATATGTAGATTGATATGTTTATATAAACATCTATACATCTATAATAATAGAGTAATATGCTAACCAGACATCCTTCCGGACGAAGCTGAGGCTGTAGCTGTGAGATTGAGGCAGCCGCTGTGGCTACGAAGGAGGGATCCAGGCACCTGCCAGCTGTGAGGGAGGATCCAGGCAGCCTCCTTGGCTGTGAAGGCCTACTCTTGCACAAATTTTGTGCATCGGGCCTCTAGTATATATATAAATACATAAAAATACAAAATATAAATATATGAATAGCCTCTTTAATAAAAGCCTAATATGCAAATTGACGGAATGGCACAACGACCTGGGGAATGACTGGGTAGCTATGATTGCACTGACTACCAGGGGGCAAATGCTCAATGCAGGAGCTGCCCTCAGCCCACAGAACCCAGGCCAGCCCCAGGGGTGCCAGCAGGGCCCCTGATCACCCCACCAATTGCCCCACAGATCAGCCCTGCTCACCAGCCAGGCCTAGGGATCCTACCTGTGCATAATTTCATGCACCAGGACTTTAGTATAAATATAAAAATATAGCCTGGCCAGCATGGCTCAGTGGTTGAGCATTGACCTATGAACCAGGAGGTCATGGTTCAATTCCTGGTCAGGGCATATGCCCAGGTTGCTGGCTTGATCCCCAGTGTGGGATGTGCTGGAGGCAGCCAATCAATGAATCTCTCTCATCATTGATGTTTCTATCTCTCTAACCCTCTCCTTCCTCTCTGAAATCAATAAAACTATATTAAACAATAAATATAAAAATATAAATAAATATAAAAAATATAAAAATATTAAAAAAAAAATAATGCCCCACCAACTGAGCCACACCTGGCTGGTATGGCTCAGTTGGTTGGGCATTATCCCATGCATCAAGAAGGTTGCAGATTCCCAGTTAAGGCATATGCAGTTGGACATCCTTAGTGCTGCCGCTGCGGAGGAGGTGGAAGAGGCTCCTGCCCCCATCACAGTGCTCTCAGCCATCAGCCCTGATTGTGGCTGAGTGGAGCTCCCTCTGTGGGAACAAACTGCCCCCTGGTTGTCAGTGCACATCATAGTGACCAGTCATTCTCGGTTGTTCCGCTGTTAGGATCAATGTGCACATTACCCTTTTATTTATTTATTTATTTATTTATTTATTTTTATAAGTTTTTTTAAAAATATATTTTATTGATTTTATACAGAGAGGAAGGGAGAGAGATAGAGAGTCAGAAACATCGATGAGAGAGAGTCATCGATCAGCTGCCTCTTGCACACCCCCTACTGGGGATATGCCCGCAACCAAGGTACATGCCCTTGACCGGAATCGAACATAATATATTTTTATTTATTTCAGAGAGGAAGGAAGAGGAAGAGAGAGATAGAAACATAATTGATGAGAGGGAATTATTGATTGACTGCCTCCTGCACTTTGGACTGAGCCCACCAGCCAGGAATGTTCCCTTAACCAGAATTGAACCTGGAACCCTTTGATCCACAGGTCAACACTCTATCCACTGAGCAAAACTAGCTATGGCTATACCACAGCTTTTATATCCACTCTCTGCTGATGGGCATTTGGCTGTTTCCAGATCTTAGCTATTATAAACTGAGCTGCTATGAACATAGGGTTGCATACATTCTTTCTGTCTGGTGTTTTGGGTTTCTTAGGATATATTCCTAGAAGTGGGATCACTGGATCAAATGGTAGCTCCATATTTATTTATTTTTAGGAAATTCCATACTATTTTCCATAAATAGTTAGTTTGCATTCTTACCAGGAGTGTACTAGGGTTTTCTTTTTGCCACATCCTCACCATCACTTGTCATTTGTTGATTTGTCGATGTGAGGTCATACTTCATGGTCATTTAATTTGCTTCTCTCTGATGATCAGTGACTGAGCATTTTTTTGTATGTCTCTTGGAGAATATTCCTAGAAGTGGGATCATTGGGTCAAATGTCAGTTCCATATTAAATTTTTTGGAGAAACTCCATACTCTTTTCCATAGTGGCTGCACCAGTCTGCTTTCCCACCAGCAGTGCATGAAAGTTCCCTTTTCTCCACATCCTTGCCACCACTTGTCATTGGTTGATTTGTTGATGATTGCCATTCTGACAGGTGTGAGGTAATACCTCATTGTCATTTTAATTTGCATCTCTCAGATGATTAGTGACTGAGCATTTTTTAATATGTCTCTTGGCCATATGTATGTTCACTTGGGAGAAGTGTCTATTTAGGTCCTTTACCCATTTTTTAATTGGATTGTTTATCTTCCCTTTGTTAAGTTGTATGAGTTCCTTATATATTTTGGAGATTAATCCCTTATCAGATGTATCATTGCCAAATATATTCTCCCATATAGTGGGCTCCCTTTTTATTTTGTTGATGGTTTACTTTAAAAAATGTATTTTATTGATTTTTCACAGAGAAGAAGGGAGAGGGATAGAGAGTTAGAAACATCGATGAGAGAGAAATATGGATTAGCTGCCTCCTACACACCCCCCCACACACACTAGGGATATGCCCACAATCAAGGTATATGCCCTTAACGGGAATTGAACCTGGGACCCTTTAGTCAGCAGGCTGACACTCTATCCACTGAGCCAAACTGGTTAGGGCTGTTGATGGTTTATTTTGCTGTGCAGAAGCTTTCTATTTTCATATAGTCCCATTTGTTTATTTTTTCCTTAGTTTCCTTTGCCCTAGGAGATGTATCTGTAAACATATTGCTATAAGAGATGTCTGAGACTTTTGCTGCCTATGATTTTTCCTAGGATTTTTATGGTTTCACGATTTATATTTAAGTCTTTTATTCATTTGAGTTTATTCTTGTGTATTGTGTAAGTTGGTGGTGGTCTAGTTTCATTTTTTTGCATGTATCTGTCCTATTTTCCCAACACCATTTATTGAAGAGACTATCTTGACTTCATTGGATACTCTTTCTTTCTTTGTCAAATATTAATTGAACAGAATGGCTTGGGTCAATTTCTGGGGTCTCTGTTCTGTCCCATTGACCTATATTGCTGTTCTTGTACCAGTACCAGGCTGTTTTTATTATGGTGGCTTTGTAGTATAAGTTGATATCTGGTATTTTGATCCCTCCAAGTTTGTTCTTCTTTCTCAAGATTGCTGCAGCTATTTGGAGTCTTTTTAGTTTCATATAAATTTTTGGAGTATTTGTTCTAGGTCTGAGAAATATGCTGTTGGTATTTTAATGAGGATTGCATTAAGTTCATAGATTGCCTTCGATAGTATGGACATTTTACTGATGTTAATTCTACCAGTTCATGAACATGGTATATTCTTCCACTTGTTTATATCTCCCTCTACCTCTTTTTAAAAAAATGTCCTATAGTTTTCTGAGTACAGGTCTTTTATCTCCTTGGTTATCTATCTTATTTTGTTGTTGTGGTTGCAATGGTAAATGGGATTAT